AAAAGGTACTATTTCATAGAAAGGTTATGTGTATTTTTCCAGTAGATTTAATTGTGAAGATGATTTTGAGAAAATGACACTTCACCATTACTAGTGAATAAGGCAGCTGAAATTCCTCCAATTCATAACCTAAATTCAAGTACATCTTCTCAAAGGATTGTGTCAGTAATAGTGTGCAAAGCATTTCTCTAAATTGTAGGAAGCTTAGAGAATAAATTATTTGGGCCTGCCAGACTGGAGATGTTGTAAATGTATCACTGGTGAACAAAAGAAAATTATTTGTAATAAGGCACTCTGTTTTCTGCTTTTGAAGTTGTTGCTATCAAAAAAACACATCATGGATGGCAAATGCTACCAAGGCTCTCTATCAATATCTTGTATGGTTGACGTCTGTAAAATATCTATCATATCCTGAACAGAAAACAGCATAGCACCTGGCCATAAGATTGCATACAGCCTACAATTAGTTTTCTGAAGTGAAAACTGGGCAGTAAAATTTTTCTGAAATTAATGCTGCCAATGTAAGTCAGTGTTTTCAACTGTATCATTTCAAGTCAGTATTTCTACCATACACATGAAGCCCATTTTCCAGCACTGTTGTGCTTAACTGTCACAGAACGGGCATATGTCTGTCTGGCATAACACATGGATTTCCTTTAATCAGTCCTGTCTGAACGAGAGCACTAGCTCCTTCTTTGGTGTGTTTTTATAAACCACATATTTTCCTTTTAGGAAGGTGTTTCCAGCACATGTTGACAGTGTTAGTAATTATGTAGTTATACTCATAAATGAAAAATACTTTCTTATCTGTCTTTTTTGTTTCTTCTTTTTTCATGTTTTACTGTAAAGACATGCATCATGCAGGTATAGTCAGTGAAATAATTTCATACTCTTTTCAGGTCATGATATCTTAACTATAAAAGTTCAAACCCATGATTTTTTGGGCCTGTGATTCTAAACAAATTAGCATTTGTTTAGTTGAAGGGGTCAGTTCATCCAAAGGAAGTATTCTCTCTCTTTTGAAAAATCCTCAGCCTTGGAGCTCCTTTCTAGTTTGTAGTTGACTCTTGGTATTTCTGCCTTCTGTCAACTCCTGCTTCCAGTACTGGAGTGGTTTCAGAGAAGAGTGACTAAATGTTTTTTTCTTCTGTGCACTTTTCTTCTTTAGTGTCTGTCCAAATCTCCTGACATTGTCTATTGTCTGAGGCAAATAAAAATTTCTTCTAGAGGAAAATGCCAGAACACTAATACATATTGTCAGAGACATTGTTTCAGTACTCAGAAATAGACTCTGATATGCCATTCAAGACTGTTATAGCATAAAGCTTGGGGCAGAGATAAAGAGAGATCCTCATCTAAGACACTGGAAGGAAAAGAAAGAGGCTGAAAACAAACTTAGGGAAAAAAAGAGATGGCAGATCCTGAGGCAGTTTGAATAGTATTTGAGATTGGGATTGATTTTATCAGCGTGGTAAAATAAGTCAGTGTTGAAATTAATCTGTGAAGAAGCAAATTATTTATTATTGCACTTATTAGGATTTTAATGATTTTTTAATAAATACACTGGAATTCTTTTCAAACAATCTAGAAAGATTCAAAATGTGGATGCAAAATGTCCACAGAACTGGGTAGTATTTCCAGCAGGATGCTAGTTATATCATTATTATGAGGTTGTTAGTGGTGTTTTGCAACTAATGTGCTTCTGCAGCTTCTGTAGTCATACATGTAATTCATATATAACATCAGCATATTGCATCAGCAATTCACAGTTTATTGCTATTTAATTGCCAGTCTTTAATTCTACCTGACATTAAAACCATGTCAAGCAATTAGCAAGACCAAAGTCGTCCCTGATATTAGGAACAGTTTTTACAAAGCGTTAAATGTTTCTGAATCAAAGACTGACATTTCTCAAACACAAATTGTATTATTGGGCCAAATCCTTATATCTTAAGAAATCTAGATTTTGTGTGCATTCGCACAAATATCCTGTTCTGAAATCCTGTTCTGTATATATGTTTGAAGAATTGTTTGTGCATTTTCAGACTATTTCCCATTTGCAGCACAAATGTTCTGTGCTGTAAACCCTGTCAAAAATGACGTGTCAGTGAAGATACCAATTTCAGTCAATTTACTCAAAGGACTTCACCTTTAGCAAAGTGTAGTTCTTCTAATTCCATTTATTATTATTACTTACACAATAATTTATTAAGTATTATTGAATAAATAAATTATATCGATTTGTTTACTATTTAAAGTTATTTATTTATTTTATTTCTCTCTAGGATTCCTATCATACTGCCTCTTTAACCACGTCTTGCCATTTCATACCTGACTGGAAGGAAAAAAGCAAATGTAGAGTTAAGCTGGCAAAGCTCCTCTGTAAAGTTCTTTCCTCCACAGCGAGCGCGCTGTGTTTCCAGACACTTCACACCTCATAGCCATTGAGAAATGCAGCCCTTCTGACAGCAGAACGGGGCAAAGGTCGCTAAATGTGAAACTCCAGCGTGTCTGAGTGCTGCGGGCTCCTTACCTTTGCGCACAGGGATGCGGGGCCCCGCTGCGTGGGGCGGCAGCTCCAGGGCACGTCTGTGGTGCTGCGGGCAAAGCAGGAGCCGGGAGGGACCCTTCTCTGGCTCAGCCCCTCCGGGGCTCCTTTCCCAGTGTGCGTCTGGCCGGTGGGGACATGTGGCACTGAATAACATTATAGCTGAACCCTCCGGTGCCCTCTCCTCGAGAGTCCTGTGCCTGAATCAGAAGCATATCCTCTCATCTCCAGGTGTTCCTTGCTGGGCAAACAGGATGAAGTGAGTCCTTTCAACAGCCTTTCCCATCTTGGATGTACTGGAGAGGTTCGTAAAGACTGACACTCCTCAAAATCCCCAGACCTCATGAAAAGTGTCCCTCTTCCCTGTTATCTGGCAAGCCTTTTGCCTCTGCAGTGCATGCCCTTGGAGCTGTAGTAACCCCAAGGGGTCTGCACAGCAGAAAGCAGGGTTCCCTTGTGTTGCCCTGTGTTCCCCTGTGCAGCCCTGGGGGTGCTGTCACTGAGCCCTCCTGTTCTTCCCTGCCTGCCTTTACACCTGCTCGGTTTGCTGTGAAATCTGTGCAGAGTAAACAAGAAACTGTCACAGCTTTTGTCATCCTCCGAGTGATTTGGGTATAGCCTCGAGTGTGCAAGGCAGAACAAGACTTCCAGCAATGTGAGACCAGGAAACAGAATGGAGACACAGCAGGATATGAAGGTTTGGCCCTGAGGTGAAGTGGATGCAGATGTAGAGGTAGGGGCTGAGGATGTACACCTGATGTGTGTAGCCCCCTGCCTTATTCAATGAAAGGGTATTTTGTTCTCCAGGAGTTTTCCTGAAGGATTTCTTTCACAACAGCAGAGATCAGCTCAGAGTTATGTAAAGTTGAGGGTAAAATAATGCAGCAAGGTTTGAAGCACAGCTGGAGCTTCAAAACATCTGTGTGCATGACTTCAGACCTCTCTGAAGGACTGGAGCCCTGCTTAGGAAAAAAAATTATCTTTTAAAAATTCCTCTAGAGAAGAAGCTCATTGCTCATATTTGCTGCTGAAGCACCCCTGCATTTTGCATTAGGAGGACATTTACAAGGACTAAGAGGCAAGATGTATAGGAGAAAATTGACACCCAAGAAAAGAATAACTACTACGTTTTGAAGCTTGCAGAGGAACAAGTGTTAGATAAATGCATACGACAAACAGATCCTGTTTGATCTCTGTAAGAAGATTTGACAAGTCAGACACACAGGAGCCATAAATTACCTGTAATAGCAAAAATTACATCAGTTTTAACCTTTTAAGCAGTGGTGCCTCATACAGCATCAATTCAGAGATAGTAATCTAAGGAGAACCAGTCTCTCTGTGCATGATTCCCTTGTAATATACAGCTACAAGAGTAAGCTGTGTATGATTTTCATAAGATGTGATAAAAATCTAATGGTTCTAGGCTGCATACCGTAAACCTGAGCAGATAACTGGCTCAGACTAACTGATAAACACAGCGGGCCAGAAAAACCATTTTTTACTTTAAAAAAGAAATGGAAGTATGATTGAGATGTCATGGTGTGGGGGTACCGCATGGGGAAGATTCCCATAATCAGTCATCAGGCTGTTTCAAAGACAAGTTGTGGAGCTGGAGGGGGGTGGGGGCTGCCAGTGCTGCAGAGCAGCCTGCAAGGATTTTTGTACCTGTGAGACATTCTGTGCCTTCTTTAGAGGATCACACGAGGGGAGCTAGTTGTCTTTTCTTCACCTGGCTTGCAAGTTGGTAATGAAGGTGGGATGAGAAGGGAGGGAGAATCACAGGCTTAAGTTTGGAAAAGACCTCTAAGGTCATGGAGCCCAACCATTAGCCCAGTACCACTGTGTGCATCACCAAGCCACCAACCCTTCCCCAAATGCCACATCCACACATTTGTTGAACGATTCCAGCAGATGCAACAGTTAGCACTTGGGTACTGGGCTGCTCACCGCTGGCACCTGGATCTGGCTGCTGCAGATCAGAGCTGTGTATGACACCCCTGCCACCAGGGCATGACAGCACAGCTCCTGTCAATGACCTCTGCTAGGGGCTTGCTTCCCTTTCTCCCATAATGGCAGAGCTTCATTTCCCCTTCAGCCCAAAGAGAATGTAGGAAAGACTATTCCCACCCTGTGCATGGCCTTGCTTGTGCTTGAGTGGCTGCTCTTGGGGCTGGAGGGAAGATTTCCAGGGCTGGCTTTGCTTTTAAGCAGTCCCCGTGCACATTTCCTTGGTGTGCTGCCTCAGCTGGGAAGGGAGGCGATTTGGGAGTCAGACAGATGGAGATGAACTAATGTTGGAGCCGGTACCAGGCAGCCTTGCAGTCCCAGCACTGCTGGTGCTGTGGCTGGGAGCATCTTCTTTTAGCTCAATGGTCATTTTAATTAACTTTTTATTACTGCCTGTTACTTCAGACCTAAAAGCCAAAATTCTTGCAAAATTCTGCTTTCCCAGAAACTTCCCCAACAAGCTGAATCACACTGGGAAAAGCTGCTGCCTGGGATTTTTCTTCTCCAAAAAATAATTTGTTTATATGGTAAGGAAAGCTCTATTTGTACTGCCTTTTTGGGTAGGAAAAGAGAAATTTCCCCACTGGTTCTAAGAGCTGCAATTTCTGTCCCTGTGATGCATTCTGTCAGCAGACAAACCACGTGTGCCATGAGCAGACTGGGTGCTGGCAAGCTGAGGTGGGCTGGGAGCAGCCTTGGCTGGGGGCTGCCGGTCACTCCGCAGCTCCCCAGGGTCAGCGGCTGGTGGCCCGATGATGCCACTGGCCCTAAAAAGGTGCTGGCTGTCACGTTGCTCTTCAGAGTGGCCCTGGGCTGGTGGCAGATTCTGGTGGTGGCCACAGGGCTGTCAGTGGGGTGAGGCTGGGCTGCCCTGGGCTGACTGCAGGATCCCTCAGGGGTAGGGGAGTAGAGGGGTCAGGAGAGAAGACAAGCCTGGGAAAAGGAGTGGATGGTAGCAAAGTGGTCACTTATTTTTGTCTCAGCACTCCTCTACTTTAATTGGCAAGAAATTACATTAATTTTCCCCAGGTTGAGTCTCTTTTTGGCCTTTAGTGATGTCCTTGACCTACAAACTTTTCCATCTCATTTTTTCCCCTTTCAGAATGCATCGCTGTAGCTGCTGCAAGGGCTATCCAGGTCTTCAGGAAGGGGATACTGCAGCAGTCTTTCCTCCTAGGGCATCACTTTCATGTCAGGGTTGAGGTGCTAAACCTTGACATACAACTGGTGAGTTTTTTTTCTTCTGCCAGTACAGAGAGGGTGGTAGTTGCTGTTTTAACTCAGGGTCTTCTGAATCTGTGGGACAACAGAATTTGATGTATTGCTGCCCTGGCTGTCCTTAGCCCAAATTCTTCTTCTGGAACAAAGAAAATCAAGAGGACTGGGTCACATTCTGTGGATACAAACAGCAGAACAGCACAAAGGTGATGAAACTTAGCTTTCTGGAAAGGTTCAAACATAGCTTCTGATTCAGAGCACAATGTGGAATATCTTTTTTCTTTAGTATTTTATGTGACCGTGACCAGGCTATGAAGTAGGTGAGAACAAATCTCTTGAAGGGGCAATAAAGTGCAAGAGGATATTTTACTTTCTTAGATAAATGTATTATATCCAAAGTATATGCCTGTCACTTCACAGAAACTTTTAGGGTTTCTGTACAGCTTCGTCTAGACCAAGAAGAGCAGCAGGTCTCAGAGGGTCTGACAAATTAATTGTAAAAAACTTGGTTGGTGGACAGGCCCCAAATGAGAGGAAACACTGAGGGAAAGATGGGAACTCAGCTGTAACATTTTGTGCTTGGTAATGGCCTGGCCATCCCGTGCTGTGGAGCTAATTGGAGCACAGCCAGGTGCAGGCTGGCCTGGATGTGTCCCCTCTCCCTTGCTACCAGTGGTATTGTGAGAGAGAGGCACAAGTCTACAGGAAACAAAGCTTTGTTGCCTCTGCCTTTATGAAAGAACTTACATTTCTCCCAGTGCCTTAGAAAAAAGCTATTTATTTATTTATTTTTAGCAGCATGCCTTTCAGTAGGGTTTGCAGATGGAAGGGGTCAGGGTTCTGTGATGTTCTGTGTGTCTGCCCTTAATTTCTTTCTTTTGAACTCACTGTGACTTTCAGCACAATCCTCTGTATTTGGTGGTATAAATTGATGCAACAGTTCCTCTTTAGTGTAAATATAATTTATGTTATTAGCAAAAATAAAGACATCAAATTTTTTACTCTGGATTTTTTTTTTTTACAAGTTGTCAGAAAACTGAACTCTTGCTACCCCTGAAATTTGAGCCTAGGGAGTTCAGTGGTTAGTATATGACTACTCTAGGGGAACAAAAGGTACCTTTCCAATTAAAGTTAATAGAGGGATAACTTCAGACACACAAAAGGAAAAAAAGACACCTATAAGTCATGGTGAGTTCAAAAGGAAAGAATTAAGGTAGGCACACAAAGCATCATGGGAAGCGCTATTCAAGGTACCATGTCAAAAAGGCTGATTAACAGCAGTTCCAAGTCTACCTGATCACCAGGGAGTCTTACTGATAAAAATTATTTCCCCTCCAGAGAGAAGAATCTCCCTGAACTGAACAAATGTGTCACTTTTGAATAAGGATTCATGAAAAGGCAGAAGAGGAGAAGAAAAAAGAATAAAGGTACGCATTCACCAAAAGGTCTGAAATTTGTAACTTGTGACTGTTTATCAGTCTTTAAGTTCTGAATGAAACTGCAAGTCATATGGCTGTGAGCAGGATTCAGATCACTAGCTTTGCATTTCTTTTTTGTTTAAAAGTGGCTGTTTGCAGATAAAATTCTCTGGTGTTGGTTGTAATTGCAATCAGAGAAATCTAATGGCTTTGTTTGATGTGCTGCTTAGACCTTCCAGGCTGAAACACTTTTCAACAGAGTGCCCTAAAGATATTGACTGAATTCTGGAGCTACTTTGTGGAATCTGGTGGTTTGTGTTGTGTGCAGAACTCACACTATATGAATGTAATGGTAAATTCTAGGCATAAAATAAATTTATTTGAGGTCACAAATTAATTTTTATTATCTTTCCTCCCCCAATTTAATTTCTTTAGGTTGTTTCAAACACATTGAGCTGTGCAGAAGAAAAGAAACACAAAAGAAAATGCAATTTGAGTGTCTTTTTGTGGGCATGATGTAAAAATGCCTCTTTTTAAATAATTTGGCCCTTACCTGTTTTTTGACCTTTTATTACTCTCATGTATATTTCCATGGTATTTTGGAGGAATTTATCTTTAAATTGCCTTTCTATGTCTTCTTTCATATCCATGGTTTGTTCCTCCATTCGTGGTGATGTGGAATGGGTTTGAGAACACGATTGCCGCAGGTTGGGGAGGATCAATACGGAAATGTGGGCACTTGAGATGTGTTGTGCAGGGTGGCGTTCGGAAGAATTACAGTGGGCTGCATGTTTGAGCTGCTTTCTCAGGGCTGCTGCAATAGATGTGTGTGAGGTGTGTCCTGTGCTTTGACATTAACTGAGGAAATTCAGGAAAAGCTCTGCACTGAGTGCAGTAGGTTTTGCTGGGCTGCAGCTATTTGAGATGCAGCAGGGATGAAACAAATGGAAGCCGTGGGTTCTTTGGCTGCAGCTGGACAGAAGAAAATGATCCAAGTCAATGCTGTGCTGTCTGGGCAAAAATGGGATAACTTTTTGAACTTCAGGCAAGTTGTGAGAAGCTTCACTCAGTGCAAGAAAGAGATTAAAGCTGTTTGCCTACAAAATGGGTGTAGAAGAAGACTTTAAGTAGCAAACTGCTAATTGAGCAATATTCTGTCTTGCAAAGGGAAATTAGGAGTTTGCCTAGCTTACTGTATATTCTAGATAAACTATTGCCTTCTGAGAAATTATTCAGGGTTTTCCCTTTGTTTGGCTCAGCACTTAGCAAACCAGTGGACAGTGAGTTTCACCATACATTTGTGATGTTTTGTAAAAGAGAAATTCTAAACCTGTTCACTTTCTTCTATTTGTTTTCTCTAGATGAGTTTTTAATTACGTTCCCATAGGTTTGGTTTTTTTCCTACTTGAAGTTTTTAATGCTATGTGCTGGTATTACTAGTATTTAAATGTGAGTGGGCTTTTCTTAGCTCATTTCCTGACTCCGCTGTCCTTAACACCTTGGGGAGCTGTAGAGTATGAACTATTTCATTCACTTTCAGCGTCTCATTGTTTATTCATAGTGGCATTGTAAAAATGCAGAAAAATACAAAAATAGCACTCTAATTTTATAAATAGTATAAATTTCTCCTAAAAGGTGCATACATATGTATAAAAATATGTGCACCTGTAAAAGAGATTAAATTAAATAATGCTTACATTTTTACATTATTTTATGCTTCACAGACAATTTCAATAAAACCTTGGAAAAATTCTATGTATAATTAAAATACATATTAGCATCTTCAAACAGATGCATATTGCACACAATTATCTAGAATATATATTACTTTAATCTATTTGTCCACTTGGGGTTGTCCCAAACAAGAGAGTTCAACATTTAATAAAAGAAAAGGAAGGTTGTTGTTACTTTCTTTATTTGACTGAAGAATACCGCACAGAAGGCAATTTATATGCATTAAGTGTTAAATTCACAATCACTAGGCAAGTTTCCCTAGAGGGAAAAAGAAGTAGTGCTGTTTGTGTTCTGTTTCTGTTTGCTGCTATTGACATTTCTTTGACTGGGTTATCCTTCGTGGAGACAAGAGAACCATGTCCTTGCAGCCCACATGACCACCATCCAGCTCCATGTGTAAGAGCCTGGATGCATCTCTGAGCTCTCAGCTATTCAGCTAGAAGATTTGGATTCTGTAGTTCTCAAGGGACTGCTGTGTTGTTTCTCTGTTCTTTACTTGACAAAACATTGTAGGCTTCTGGTGCTGTTGATTTTCATGCAGAAATCCCTGTGTCGTTATTCTAGTAAGCAGTTTTGAAACACACATGTTTTGTGAAATCTGTTTGAAGCAAAATGACAAGTATATTTAGCAAATCACAGCTTTTTTGGCAGGTGAGCTGACAGCAGGCTTCAAAAATAATTGATCGGTGGTTGATTTAACATCAGTAATTTCAGCAGACTGTAATGTTTGACACCAGTTTTCTAAGGCATTGTATAAGGTAGGAATAGTTTCTGCTGAATGAAGGATTCCTTTGTTACAATAGGAGGAAGTCAGGAGAAGGTAGGTTAGCTGGGAAGAAAAAAAGAAAAGGACTTTGGTGAGGGCTAAGAAGAAATCATATAATTATTTGCTTTAATCTGTCATTGTTTTCCTCTCCCCCTGAAAATTTCTCTTCACAAAAGTTTCTCAAGTAAAGTGAAGAGTTTCATCTTGTGAATCTTCAATTTCTTTTTTAAAAGATTTAATTTCTTTCTCTCTTGGACATTAAATATAAACATTCTCTTTAATCTTTTAAAAGTTGCTTTAACAACATGAATCTCCCTTAGTGAGGGGATCCCTCCTCTTTGTACCTTCTTGGATTCAGTTGTCTTCTCATTTGAACACATTTCATTACAAATGTGGTTTTGCTAGAAATTATCATAGTTTGTCTTTATTGTTTAGATTATGTAATACCTTTCCTTTAGCTTCCTGTATTTTATCAGTGTTTAGTTGAAACCCTCTCATGTACCAAAATCAATGTGTCTTTGGTTCTGCCTATTTGCCTTTGCCTCTTTATGTTGCTCTTTTGATCTTGCTTTGTTCTATAAAGCAATCAAAATAATTTGTTGGCTTTTTGATGATCTTCTTGCACATATTTTGCTATGCCATCTTTCACACTGCATTTTAGAGAGTAACCTTCCAGAGCACATAAGCAGCTCTGTCCTTTGTCCTGCTGAAGCCTACCCTGTTACATCCATCTCTACTCTGCTGTCTTAGGGGAAAATTGCTCAGTGTCCCATTAAAGCAGTGTTGTGGTTATGCTGGTTGTAGCTTTCCTTCTTCTCCCAACTTCAATTTACCCATCTGGCTTTCTTACCGTTTTGAAAAGTACCTAGGGTATGTAGTATCTGGTGAGCAGGAAAAAAGTTATTTGGTAATTATGTTCTAGAACGTTCACCCTGGAGAACTGCTTATGTGTAATTCTTTAATCAGGGACACAAAGCTAGGGTGCACCAACAGTAAAAAGGGAGTTTGGGACAGAAGAACAGACAGAGTTCGGGATAGTGCACAGAAGGAGATGGATAATGTTGAGGACTACAAATGGGGTAAAATTTCTGAATGCAGGAGATAACATAATGCATTTGGGGGCTCCTCTGAAACCCGCTGCTCTAAGCTGAGAGGTCAGCAGCTGGAAACAACCCAGTTCACTGTAAGATGTGGCGGTATGAAAGAGGTAAATGCAATCCTGGGATGTCTCAGGAAGGATAACTCCAGATAAGGAAGTATTACAAGCTGCATAGAGGAATCTTTAATCGGACCTCATTTAAGATAGCACATACGGTTTTGACTAACGGTGTTCAAGAAAGATGATCTGAAACTGAAGTTTGCATAGACAAGGCCATAGGGATGATCAGGGAAATGGAGAATTTGTTTTACAAACAGGAGCTAGGAGAGGTTGGTTGTTTAAATTGGCAAGGCAAAACCTGAGAGAGCATGCAAATTTTTTGTCTTCAAATACATAGTGTCAGAAAATAACTCTTAATGTGAAGGGCAGTGCTGGCAAAGGAACAGAGGGGTAAACTGGCTGAGAATACATTTTGGTTGGGGTTAAGAAAGAAGTTCCTAACTATTAAAGTGGCTGAGCTCAGAACTCTGACTATTCCATGGGAACAGTCCAAGCACAAAACACAGTAGAACACAAAGGTCAGTAAGTTTAGGAAGGGGATTATCTGTAAGAAGGCTGCTCCTGAGATCCAGGGATTAGACTACCTGAGGCAGGTGATCCTTCTAGACCTACGGCCCTCAGAACATGTAAAGTTATCTATTTTTTAATAATAAATATATTTCTTTATATGTAGAAGAGGCATTTACACTTGATTCATTGTTTCAAATAAACTCACCATTTGCAGCGAGAAGGATGTGTTTGTAACTGTGGTTACCCTCTGGAAGTAAACAAAGTTTCCATCCTTACAATGATGTGAGGTTTGGAGCAGTTGCTTTTTTGAATCACATTAGCTCAGCTAAGCTAACTGAACTTGACTGAAACTCTGCTTTTCTGAAACTGAGACATAGGTGTTGAAACCTTTCTACTGAAACAGTGTGTGACAGCTAATTCAGTCAGTTAAACTGGTTTGGTTAAATAAAGCAGTTTTATGTCACTGACATACATTTTCAGCCCTTTGAATATCATCCACCATCTGATAGGAGCTAAATAAAACCACTCAAAAAGTTGCATTGGACAACAAGTTCCATTTAAAAACAAAATCAAATCAAAGCAAAACCAAAAATCAAACCAAAATGAAGCCTCTAATGATTTAGAGATTAGTCCAACATGAACTGCTAGAATTATCTATATAAGGCTCTAATGCTCTTTAAAATAGAGGATTAATAGTGTTAACTTCCCCGTTGGACAAATCTTTTGCAAGTGAGAGGAAACTGGGATGCAAGACAATTTCCAGTTGCTTCTATCAGAGGACCTAGTGAAAGGAGAAAACCACAGTCATAAAAACATTATCCTCCCATGTGCTATGAAAGG